AAAATCCACCAGTGGGACCTAAGGCTCCTTTTACAGCGCGCCTTCGTGTTTAACCCTTTAACTTCCAAAAGTGATTAACAGTTAACTTCTCCCTTTTAATATCCATACATTATGAAGCAAATAGGGAATGAGAATAGCCAAAATTATCAGGTTGACGTTATCTTGATCCAACACCAAATTCTGGCATCTAATTTACTAGAAAATATGTCGCATTAAGAGGGGAGAATTAACAATCAGATCTCAGTGGGAGTTAAAGAATTTAGGCTTCTGCTCAGTGTTCCAGCCTGAACTAAGGTACCAGTGCTAGGTTGTTGGGCTCCAGGGCTTCTAGCGTAAGCGGACAAAGTAAACCCACGATGTGCATAATTAAGATTGGAATTAAATTGATGTGTTGAGATTATTTTTCGGGGTTGGGGTCGGAGGATTTTGGTTGTGTCACAATAGAAAAACTTGATTCCTCTGTAAGGCTCTGTATTGTTCTAATAATCTCCCTCATCGGCAGTCAATAACAGTTCTCTCTTTAAACTCTGTGAGAGACCACTGATCTCCCCCTCTGAAATCCATATAATTCCCCTCCCCCCCTAAAAAAATTTTTTCCACCCCCTTTCAGGCGATACATGATGACTGGTACCGAAATATTTCTATATCGAAAGCAGACCATTGTTGAAAAGTAAGCGATGCAAAGGATGTAACTGGTCCTCATTGAAATGTTTGTAATTCTTTTCATGGATCCAACACAACTTTTATAAAGGTTTCATAAGCTCAACACCAGGCATAAAGAACAAACGCCGTGAACCCCGGCCTATCTTCACGAGAAAAATGTACAAAATTTTTCAATTATACTCTAAATTTTATTTGTTTTATTCTTGCACTAGGGATAGAAACTTCAATTCACCCCGTTGATGATTTTGTCGTTCTCTTTTCAACAGATGTACTATTTCTGTCTTTTGGAAGGGAAGTGTTATGCGACAGTCACTCTGCACTTGTGATCCATAGTTTCAGACGCCTGCGCATTCACTTCATATTGTGTGATAACCTCAAACCAGAGACCATGGACAATTATGAACCTTTGAAGGAAGGCTGAAAGAAAAGGTCAAGCAAGAGAGGAAGCGAAAATTTCAATCTCCGAAAGTTAGGCAGATTTCATGAAAAAATGACCACCTCAAGAAACTAAGATCATCCTTGAAATAAAAAACAAACCGGCGCCCTCCTTCCCCCACCACAACCGCTTCCTAAAGTGGTAACAACGTCTCTATAATACGCATGTGTATAAAGACAAACGTTTGGTTACAAGAAACGCATGCGTTTCAAATAAATGTCACTTCCACAAAGTAAACAAAGTTTAGGGACACTTATTTAAACTATTTCTAGGGTGGGTGTGGTGGGGGAGGCTCGATAGATGAAAATAAAACTGTAATAAGCAACTGTATTAAAATATTGTAATGAAGAATAAACTATGTAAAGTAATGTAGTATAGTAGAAGATTATAATGTAATATTATTGTCAACCTTTGAAGGAAGGCCGAAAGAAAAGGTCAAGCATTTGGTTGAAATTTACCCTTCGTCTCTCAGCAAGCAATAGACGAAGGGAAAATTTCAACCTCCGAAAGTTAGGGAAAAATCGGGGGTCGATCCGCCACCGAAAAAAACTCTCTTCTCTTCACCCTTCACATTCTATTGCTACTTGTAATCTTCGCAGTATCTGAAATAAAAAAATAAAGAGATAATTGTAAAAAATGTAATTATCGCATTTTTGGTTCTGTTCAAAAATAATATGAGTGATAAACATCTTATCTCCCCTCGCAGTATAACCAGAGTTACACATTAAGGTCACGAGAATAGAAAAAAATGATCACCAACTAAACAAGCTCTTGATCATTGTACAAATTCTCCTTGTCACCACCTTGGGAAATGTATAGAGAACAGTATGGAGAATATGCATACTGATATTAGGGTGTAAAGGGTCAAAGACAGTAAAAAGGAGTTATAGCAGCACGGTGACAATTAAGCCCACCTCATGCAAAGTCGTTTTCGTTGAGTTTCTTTCAAAATTGAAAGGTTTTCAGTCTCTGAAATGATGAAAAGTGAGCGAGAACTATATCACTCACTCGAACTTCGGCATTACACTAGTTCTCTTGTAAAAAAAATACACAAATAAACGCGGATACTGATCTAAAACAATCACTCAAAGTTCCGTTCAACTAAACCACAACATCAACAGCTGTATACTTACAAGTATATGAAAAATTTCGTCTTTCTTGACCTTCGTAAAATGGAAATGTTTTGAACATCTGGAAATAAGGACATACACAAAAAAAGAAAAAAAAAAAAAAAAATCTGATTTTAGCTGAAAATATACTGATAGAAAGGATGATTATTTCTACAGATGCAATTTTTGCTTAACTGTACAAAATTACAAGAAATCAGGTTTTCATGTACCTTTTACTCTACTTCTGCCTTTTGCTTCCGTTCCTTTTTCTCTCTCAATCTGATGTAAATTGAAGAAAGCAGCCACTGAGCCAGTCAGGCAGCTAGTAAGCCTGTTGAAAAGTCAGTCAGCTGGTCATTTAACTAGTCAAACAGCACACAAGGCTGTAAGTTAACCAGTCACGCAGCGCACTAGCCAGTCAGCAAACACTGAAGACTGGCATTCAGTATGTCAGTCGGACAAGCAGTTGTCAGTCAGACTTTCATTCAGGAAATCAGTCAGTCAGTCAAACAGTTGGGAAGCTAGTCAGGCAGTTAGTCAGCAAGCATAGCAATCAGATAAGTGGTGGGTCATTCAGGAAGTAGGTCTGCTAGCAAGGCAGTCAATCAAGCAGTCAGACAATTAGTCAGGCATCCAGGTAAGTTGCTAATCAGGCAAGCACTCAATCAGCCACTCAGTCCAGTTAGTCAGTCACTCAGTTTATTCATCAGTCAGCCAATGAGGCAGCCAAGTGGCCAGTTTGATCGTCAGTCAACTAGTCATGCAATCAGCAAGGCAACAAATCAGCCTATCAGTCAGCTAGCCAAGCAGTTTGCCAGATGCCTTACAGCTAGCCGTTAAGGCAGTCATCCAGTCAGTCAGCAAACCACATGTAGCTCAGGAAAACATTCACCCAGTCAGTCAGGCTATCAGCCAGCTGATAAGCCAGTCAGTCTGCTAGTCAATCATTCAGCACACCAGACAGGCAGAGTCACAGGAAGTCAATAAGTCAGCCAGCCATTCAGTTAGTCAGTGAGACAGCCAGCAAGTCGGCTGAGTAAGGCAGTCAGTTAGCCACACATGAAGCCAGTCAGGTGATCAGTTAGCCTGTCAGTCTGCTAGTCAATCATTCAGCACACC